ATGCTTTATATTCAAAATATAATATAAGTATATTTATTTTGTTAAAGTTTGTGATTCAAATTGACTCTTCAAACACATGAAACAGCATAAAAGATTTCATGTAAGAGATACTGTTAATTGCAATAGCTATCAGATTAACAATGGAGTCAATAGCCTAAAATATAATTTCTATCAATGGCTAATCTGAAATTAGTTTGAACCAACAAACCTTTCAATAATTTGGAAAGGCAGACGGTGTCAGGAGGGCACCATAGTGACCATGAGCTTCTGTGTAACTCAGGGGCAGGTTATCTTAGTTTAGGTTTAGTTGGGAGCAGTTTCCCTTTGTATATATCTGCCATCGCTTGATGAGCCCTAGCTCAAAGGTTACAGTTTTCCTATAGTGCAAGTTCCACTGTCATTTCTTCAGTATCACATTTGTATCAATGCTTTTGTCTTAAGTTTGGCATTTTATGAAAGTAATTAACCTAGATAGTAAAATCATGATAATGACCTTATTAATTTGTCAAAATGATGATAGCAAAAACCTGTGCACAAATGGAAGCAATTAGAATTCTCCAGTGTTTTAATGAATGGCTATTTACCAGTGGGTTTCCATTCTCATTGGGATTTAAAGTGTCTTTAAAATTTAACTTTGTCCTATCTTGAGTTACTTTAATTCACTGATGTAAACCCGTCACTAAATATCATAATATTATATATAATACCACAACAATCTTAATTTTTGCATTCACTAAACCGATACAGAAAAGATATTTTGTGTTGGTCTTTTCAACATGTAAACAGGATTGTATGAAGCAGTATTGACATACATACCTATTGACTTGAAGGCACATCTTCAGTGCTGATGGTATCATTCAAGAACAAAGTCCCTTACTTTTGGGAGCGAGGGGTTGAAGCGTTCACTCATCACGCCGAAGATCCGGGTTCGATTCCCTGTATGGGTACAATGTGTGAAAAGCCCATTTCTAGTGATATTGCTGGAATATTGCTAAAAGCGGCGTAAAACTAAACTCACTCACTCCCTACTTTCAAGCCTTGACTTTGCAAGCTACATGTTTACATAACAGCATGCGCATTCTTAGTGGACCTTTTGAAGCGAAAATAGTGGAGTATGTTTTGGCACGTTATTTCAATTATAATAGTAGTTGTGTGGTGACACTGCTCTTATTTATTATATTGTTTTTTGCATTTGAAAAATGTCATATCATTGGCTTGCAAATGCTTTCATGTTCGGGTAGTCTTGGCATCTTTTATCAAAGAACAAAACATGTAGATGATGGGTTATATGTAGGATTTCGTGGACAGTCACTCATATAGATGCCTGTAAAACAGTATGTGCTCACAGTGCAATAATGATTGTCATGTAAGTTCAACATTAGTTTTTATTATTATATTATTATTATAGGATACTTATATAGCGCACATATCCAGGCAACTAGTGCTTGCTCAAGGCGCTGATATTTTTTCCCTCGATCATTGGATGTCAATCTCAATGGCACATCGTATTATCAATCTCAACTCCCTGGGGAGTATACAACTCTTGCAGCCACTAGGCGCACCGAGTTATTGTGGCTTAGTAAGCAGCGAGGACATCTATGATCTGACAGGTTTGCGACAGTTTCAAAAATGTATCTTATCTTTAAATATAAGTCTTTCAGATTAATCATAGCTAGGTTTGTTTGAAAATCTAGCCCTGGAACTACAGATTTATGATGTTGTACCTTTATAAAAATTAGATACACATAATTGTTGTGGTTTGGTTTTGGTTTTGTTGGTGCTTAACGCGATATTGCAATGATAGTTTACAGTCTGGTAATATAAACAATTTAATTTGTTTGTAACCTACACATGCAGTGTTTGAAATTAACAATGAAATGAAAGAATCCTTGTCCTGTCATACCACACATGTTACAAGTTTAAGAATTGGTGTCAAAATTGTAAGAGATGATTTCAAACATTGCTTCTAACAATTTAATGTACAGGTTTCCCAGTAAATCCTGATCTTGTTTTTGGTTTGTTAAAGGCTAGAAATTAACAAAAACCTGCTGGCCCAAGATAGGTGAATAAAGGGAGGAGCTGTTATATTTCCTTTAGTACTGCAGCTTTGAAATCATGTCAGTGTCTTCACTGCAGTTGATACGTTTTGTAGAAATGATAATCTAATCAGTTTCTAACCCAATGAACCAGTTTTGTCTACAAAAATGAAGTGTGAATTTTATTCTCATAAACATGTGTTTTCAATTAAGATACATATGAATAAATGTTAACAAAACAAGATATTTTTTAGAAAAACTTATTACTATGAGAATGGAAATTATAATTGTTATTAAAAAACTTAACAATGCTGAGTGTTACAGATAGAAATTCGCATTTTGTCATAATAGATAATGAAATCCTTTGTCCTTAGTCGTGAAACACATAGTTTCATTAAGCCTCCTAGATCGTTGTTCAACTGGATCCCATTAATGTATGCAACCTTTCTGTGCCGAAACATGATATTAATTAGGAAAAGTGAATTATCTCCATGATACTGCCAAAACATAAATCTTGTTGCCTCATGGAATAAAAGGCAGTATATCAATGATCTAAAAGGTAACCGGTGAAATTAATAGAATGATAGTTTTGAATGTTAATTTGAAATTCTATGTTTGTATTAATCAAGGTAACAGGAGACAGCTGTTTTCTGACAGTTTCATTTTAGACATTTTTTTATCATTATAAATATTTTGTTATTAATGGCATGTTGAAATTAATGGGATCCTCAGTGCCTTTGTTTTTTTTCGCTTTATCAGTTAAATCTATAGATCCTTTGAGTTACATGCTTACCGTAATTAGTCAACTGAATAGTAAGGGCTGGCTATCGATAGAGATGATAAATCTCAATAATCATTCACTAAATATCAATCGATTATTGATAAATAACCAAGAAGTAATTTAGAGGGAAAATTCCCTACAAATATGAAAGAAATCAGTAAATTTCACATCACTAGTGAGTGGTGATATATTTAGGCTTGGATTAGGAACAAACTACTGTCATGAACATAATTTAGAAGTAGCCCATGCATAAAGACTTTACTTGTTGTAATGTCTGAGTAAATTGAAACATTATTTCATCACAATAGTTTATGAAAGATATTATCAACAAACCTTCATATCAATAATCATTCATATTTTTTGCCACCAATGGTATTTCCAATGATCGATCATTTCAGCCAGCCATACTGATTAGTCATCAAGAACTGTATATTTAACAACATATATTTTCTTATATAATTTTGGGGTTCAGAATGTACTTAATGTACTTGTAAGAATGTCAAAATACTATATTCTTTCATATACAGTTTCCAACCATTACAATGCACCTATGCCACAGTTCTTTTTGTCATCAAGTGTAAGAACTTAGCTAAACACTAATAAGACGATGTGTTTGTTGAAATTTTGTAAATTACCACTCTCAAACATGGATATTGCTAAAATCGGCACAAAACAACTCATTCACTTAATCTCCATGTCATTGCATATGGAGACATCCCTGAAGGATAAGCACTGTTCCTGCATTAGGAACAACACAAAACCCTTTAACTTGTTGCTAGCAATAATTATGTGGGAGAATATGCTGCACTGCACTCAAGTATGTAAATGTCACATTGTTTTGTGTACAGGGTTTGAAATTCTATGTATTAGAGTGCCAATGGCGATGTTAAAGTTGTAAAGGCACAAATGGAGATGAGTTCCTGGTGGCTGAAGGGCACACTTAAAGGCTTCTCTTGTTTTTTTCTCCTTTTTTTAAAAACACCCTGTGGTAATATATATTTATTCAACACCAGTGATGAATGTTCTCTGACAGAAGTACACTCTGCGAACATCTACATGGATATTCAAACGGTTTATGCATGTATGATACATAAAATAAACTGGAAATTCAGAAATTGAATAGGAAGTTGTGATGTCCATAAAACTGAAGGGTACATTCTTCAAGATTACAACTGCTAAATATCCTGCCTATCACAACTTTCAGAGTGCCCTGTGACACACCTTTAAAAGACCATCTCTGTGGTGTAGTGGTTACAGCGTCCCCCCGGAGAGCGGAAGGTCACGGGTTTGATCCCCGACCGTGTCATACCAAAAGACGTTAAAATATGGTACTTGTTGGTCCTGCCTGGCGCTCGGCATTAAAAGGTACAACAAGGACTGGTCGGCTCGGAGTCAGTATAATGTGTCTGAGTGGGGTATTCATGCTTCACTGCGGCATGGTATCTCAGTGGGCTGGCACTATAAAACCAGCTTCAGTCTGGGCTAGTACAAGCAGCCGCACATACACATACACACGCATGCACGTCGTCATATGAGCGAAATATTCTCAAGCACAACGTTAAACCCCATTTCACCTCACCTCACACCTTTAAAAAGGTACATGTTATCCCAGGATAGGTGATTAGCCTGGTTAGTGTTAAGACTGTTATGACTAAGACCTGGTTTTGATTTTCCATGTTTGTAAGTGCCTACAATCCATACGTTGTGTTTGAAATAAAAGGGGCTTTTGTTGGCGATCAGGTTTGCTGCTGTGGTGTATGGTGTACATGTTTAACTTTCAACATTAGCCATTAAAATGATGTATTACGTTCACTGCCAATGTTGTACAGAGAGTTCGTGCATGGAGAATTAGTCCTCATCCAACTTGATCACACAGTCCTATTTAGTTGCCTTGAAGGAGTTGCATCCTTTGTTTTCTCAAGACATAGTGATCATGGGTTTGAATCCTAGATTCTCAGCGTTTCTGATATTTGATTTATCCACTCCCCCGTCACTTTATCAGTTAATACAGCAAGACAATTTCAGTCTACTTAAAAGTTGAATATTTGCTGACAGTAATCACAAATCTGTGCAATGTCATTGAGCCAGATTTGTACCTAGTCTTCTTTTCACAAAGCACTAATTTAGTGTTTATCTTTAAACAAATGCTTTACAGGTCATTTATATGATTTTTATTTTTCCAGGCAATGAGGTTCCCACCCAAGTCTTACAACAAAGATCTGGAATCTGCAGAGGTGAGTCAACAGTGATTTATGTTATAACATGGGACAGTGCTTTATGTCACAGATAGATGATTGCACTATACCACTGACAAAATATGTCTGTTCAAAGTCTCCTTCAGTGATTGTGATGAAGACATGAAACTAGGTACCAGTTGTTTAGATTAATTGAAATTGTTGAATTCTGTGCTTACAAGATACATTAAGAAAATAAATTCTCAATTAGAACCCGAAGTGTGATAAACCCTCATGTGATATGCAACATATTCTGGTGATTATGCTTCCCCTGGAAATCTTACAACATGATTGGATTTTCATGTCCTTATTAATGCTATGAAATAAACACTTTTGACACTTTATTAAAACTATACAGTTTCAGATTACAATATTAACATCAATTTGATATTTCTATGTTGAGTGAATACTGGTTGAAATAGCTGTTGCGCCCACTCCTTTGATGCTCTAGTGTGCTATCATATTCCAGCAACCATGGTCCCTGACACTTCAGTAATCATGTACCCTGTTGTTCCAGTAATCATGGGCCCAGACACACACATAAAGTGCCCTGACCCTCCTTCATGATCATATCATATATACCATGTGCCCTGATGACCAATTAATCGTGTGCCCTGTGTCTCCAGTCATCACTGCCCAGATGTAAACAAAGTTTATATATTAACAGTCAGTTGCCTTGTTAATTTCTACAGAAGGGAAGGACATTCTTGTTCCAGCACTGACTAATAATAAGCTGTTTGATATTAAATGTGAATGATTTTTGCCCGAAGCTGTTATTAACGTGCCATTCTATTTCACTCATAAAATATTCAAGAAGAAACAGTAATTACATAGTCATTTTCAACTGAGATTTAGATGTTCCACAATATTACAGCTTATTGTGAAGAAATAAATAAGGATCATGAGTACCAGTTTCGCCATTTATACACTTTGTTACGACCCAGAACAGAGCAATATCAACTGATTGCGATAAGCAGTGTCTTTCTTTGGTATGGGATGGAATGTGGTATAACCTCAGTGAAGCTCATTTAGCACTGATGTTGTACGCAGTCATTTCCAAAGGGATAATTTGTCTCCTTAATGATGGTAGTTGTGCTCTGAGTAAGATTAAGTTTCAAATGTGATTTTGACTATGAGACTATCTTCCTGTTATCTGAATAATGTTTGTTGTCAGTCCCGAATCAATACTCACTGTAGACTTATATGTCAGGCTAATTACACTGATCTGTTTTAATTTTTAAAATACTCCCATACTGACAAATATTTTGAAACATTGAAATTGATGTTCTACTTTTATCTTTGTTTTAATTGGCCAGTCAAAAGTCGCAGTATGAAAATTACAATAAAAAGGGTTAAATGGGGGTATTTAAGCCTCCCCAATGAGTGTTTGAAACTTAGCATTATCATCAAGCGGTCCTTTTTGTTATTTATGGAGTTGTTTGATAGAACTGTAGAAGAAAACCTCAAAGACAGCCCTGAACGTAGAACACTGTCAATCTTTCATGAATTACAAAAAATGCAAAAACACTAAAACTAACAATTGTATGATTACTCGAAAAATATTTTGAGCAATATCATTATATTTAGTCTCTGGCAGCTGCATACACATTGTAGAACAAAACCTATTACAGAAGGGAAAATATGCTTATGTCAAAATAGTTAACATCCTACTTTGATAATATCCTTCATACCAAAACCAACACATTCATACAATTTCATGCCCCAAACAATGTAAGATATTTAACAACACAATTAGTTTTTGTCTATTTCAGCATTCACAAGCATATTGTTAATCCAGTTGGCAATGTGTAGCACATGTATCACATGTGATGGATCATATACAGCACAATAATCACATATGTGATATGATGCGTAGCACATGTATCACATTTGATGGATCATATATAGCACAATAATCACATATGATGTGATATGATGCATAGCACATGTATCACATGTGATGGATCATATACAGCACAATAATCACATATGATGTGATATGATGCGTAGCACATGTATCACATGTGATGGATCATATACAACACAATCATCACATATGATGTGATATGATGCATAGCACATGTATCATACATGTTGGATCATATACAGCACAATCATCACATATGATGTGATATGATGCATAGCACATGTATCATATGAATATACAGCACAATATGTTGGATCATATACAGCACAATCATCACATATGATGTGATATGATGCATAGCACATGTATCATACATGTTGGATCATATACAGCACAATCATCACATATGATGTGATATGATGCGATGTATCATATATGATGGATCATATACAGCAATAACAATCATCATCACATGATGATGATAGCACATGTATCATGTGATGGATCATATACAACACAATCATCACACATGATATATATACATGCACATCACATCATCACATGTGATATGATGCATAGCACATGTATCATCACAATCATGATGTGATGTGATGCATAGCACATGTATATGATGGATATATACTGCACAATCATCACATGATGTGATATGTGTAGCACATGTCATATATGATGGATCATATATAGCACAATCATCACATATGATGTGATATGATGTGTAGCACATGTCATATATGATGGATCATATACAGCACAATCATCACATATGATGTGATATGATGATGTAGCACATGTCATATATGATGGATCATATACAGCACAATCAGCACAATCATTACATATGATGTGATATGATGCGTAGCACATGTATCATATATGATGGATCATATACAACACAATCATCACACATGATGTGATATGATGCATAGCACATGTATCATATGATGGATCATATACAACACAATCATCACACATGATGTGATATGATGCGTAGCACATGTATCATATATGATGGATCATATACAGCACAATCATCACATATGATGTAATATGATGCATAGCACATGTATCATACATGTTGGATCATATACAGCACAATCATTACATATGATGTGATATGATGCGTAGCAAAGGTATCACATATGATGGGACGTGATGTTATGCGATCAGTTAAAAAGACTAAAGACTTGTTATCAGTAAACCTACCTGTTTTTTCTATCATCATTCATACTATGTAAAGTATGCCCTTTTATGCAAATCATTAATTTTAAATAATTAGTTAGTTTTCATAACAAATCTCATTGAACACAGGATCCACCCCTAAATTTTATACACTCGTAAAGAGGATTTACTTTTCTCGCTGAAACTCATTCACTCATTTTCCCACATAGACACAGGTGGTATTTTTTATGCTAAGAGCTCTTGTTTTGAAGCAAAAAAATTAGAAAGACTAATAACAAATTTACTTCTCAAACTCCAAGTTGATTAAGATAGCTTGTAGTCAGCTAAGCCAAATAGGCTGTGACCAAAGCAAATGGTGTGAGTACACTCAACTGTTTGTATGGGGCTACATGGTGTGTGCTGCCCTACTGGTCTAAAAAGCCTGTGCCTACTTCCCACCTCCTTGCCCTGTCCCTGCCCCGGACACTTCTTGCTGGCCAGCAGACCCAAATATACATAGGCTTTGGGGATGGAAACTCTCAGGAAAATTTCTCAGGGACTGATGTGGAGTCGCTGAGGAGTATTTGATTTATGCTGTTTAGAGTAGAACTTTCAACTACGTTATACAAAGGGATCGTGCTAATTAATATTTTGGATGTAATTGCTTCCCATTTTCAAGGTCATGGCTGAAAACACAACATGATAGTATTTCATGAAATGGAATTTTGACAAAATTTCAACAATTTTGCATCTTTGCACAGACAATCTCCTGTTGCTAGTGAGTGAGTATGTTTCTACGCTGCTATTAGCAATATCACAGCAATATCACAGCAGGGGACACCAGAAATAGGCTTCACACATTGTACCCATGTGGGGAATTGAACCCGGATCTTCAGCATGATGAGCTTTAACCACTGTCCCTGATGCTAAATCTTGATCTTGTTCATTTGGTCTTGAAGTCAGTTATACAATGGTTTCATGGTATTGAATTAAAGCTATTTTAGGGCCACTTAATGGGGGCTAGGGCAGTGGGCACTCCCAGCCACTTGAGACAGTAACCTCACAAAACCCCTACAGCTTATAACAACAAAAGGGTCGGTGGGGTAGCCTAATGGTTAAAGCTTTGGCTCGTCATGCCGAAGACCCGGGTTCGAATCCCCACATGGGTACAATGTGTGAAGCCCATTTCTGGTGTCCCCCTCCGTGATGTTGCTCGAATATTGCTAAAAGCGGCATAAAAGCCAAACTCAGTCAGTATAACAACAAAGTTCATGGTCTAGTGCACTGCTAATCTCCTGCCTGTTACCTATTTCATACAATGGACCAGGCCAAACACTTTAGAATGAGGAGAATGATTTTAATGAGCAATAACCAAACTAAGAGTTTGAGATAATGGTTTGAATGGAAGATAACAAAAATATTTTAACAAAAGTTTAACAAATAAATGCATCACAAACTTCAGGAAACAAAATATGAAAGAAACGTTTTGTGTGTTTGAGATAGGCAGAAGTCCGCTAGAACCAAACTTAGACATTAAAGTGCATAAAATAAAAAAAGCAATAGCCACACAAGTGTCAGCTTATACTGAAAAACAGCCCCCCGTCTAAATGTAAATCAAGCAATCCAAATCTTTGAATGTTGATTATGACAGTTAGTCATCCAATATTATACGAAACATATTTTATGTGATATTATCTGAGGGCATACCATTATCCAAGAGGTACCAAATGACGGATTGTTTTTTATTTTCTGCAATTTGTAAAAGAAATATTATACCCCAGTGTGTTGTGATGACTAACATCTCGTTAACCACATTACCCACATGTGAAATTTTGGATATGGCTTTTCTAATAATTTTTTCAAAATAAAATGGAAGCTTTTCAAACATTGGACATCGAGAATATAGTTAGGCTGACTACTTTTTGAATGCCCCTCGTATATACCACCCCAAATCATCTTAAATTATTTATCTCAGTCTACTATCTCCAACACTATTACAACTGATATTATTACGATTTGCAAAATCTGTCTACTCACTATGTACATCAGGAAGCTTTAAAAAAGACCCAGTTCAACACTTAATTAATCTCAATTATTTAAAATGAATTGTTAAAACCCTACCAACAACAGCACAATCTTATTCCCTTCTCATCTGTATTCTCTGTGCAGCTTAATCTCACACTGTATGCTCCACCCTGTAATTTCTCCTTTGGGTCAGTTCATTATAAAAGTAAAGGTCCGCTAGTTTGCCGGCTATAGTCTGTTTTCAGTGATTAGTTGTCACCCATAGTCATTTGGGGGACATGAGCCTTTGGCATACTGAGTTCGAAATCATTAATTACAAGGCACCAATTTGTTTTGAGTGAACTTGATTTCTAGTAACTGATTTTAGTTAAATCGAATTATATTAGCTGAATTGAGTGAAGCTTATTCCAATGATTATTTCTGAAGTTTTGCCTGTGTGGGGGTTATGGGATGTAGGGACTTTGGGAGACAACCGTTGGGACAAATCATGCAGCCCCGCTTTGTCTTCTCATGAAGTTGCTGGCAAGGACTTTAATTAGTGCCCCAACTATATGTGTGAGGATCACTAGAAGTAACACTGAACCATGGAACATAGTCTGCCTCTAATTTTTCTGTGTTTGGGGCAGATTATTAAATGAAATGTGCATGCCATACACATGATGTTTTAACATATGACATGTTGGCCCTAGTACTTGGCATATGTGTTCCTAAGTTAGAGACTCAGGTGAGCAATTGAACTGATATCTGTTATTTATGTGTTAGTGTTGTTATCCCCTGCCGCGCGTTTAGCGCGAAGCGGGGATATAGTATTAGGCTTCGTCCGTCCATACGTCGGTACGTACGTACGAATTGGAATATCTTAAGAACCGTTCACTTGATTCTTTTCATATTTGGTACCTAGGTTCATCACAGTATAAGAAAGGTCCAAGTCAGGTTTGGTGACTTTGACCTTCATTTCAAGGTCACAAGGGGACTTTAGCGTTTTACCTGCATGTTAAGCTACCTCAAAAACCGTTTCCTGGATTCTTTTCATATTCAATACCAAGCTTTATCTAGGGAAGGCGCAGGGCCCAGTCGATTTTGGTGACCTTCACATAATTTTCGAGGTCATGGCGACACTTTGAAGATTTCAGCATGTTAAGCTATCTCAATAACCATTCACTGGATTTTCTTAAGTATATGACACCAAGAAAAATTATCCAGGGGAGGCTGGAGGCCTAGGTCGATTTTGGTGACCTTCACTTAATTTTTAAGGTCATTACGATGACACTTTGCAGATTTCAGCAGCAGATTATTAAATGAAATGTGCATGCCATACACATGATGTTTTAACATATGACATGTTGGCCCTAGTACTTGGCATATGTGTTCCTAAGTTAGAGACTCAGGTGAGCAATTGAACTGATATCTGTTATTTATGTGTTGTTATCCCCTGCCGCGCGTTTAGCGCGAAGCGGGGATATAGTATTAGGCTTCCGTCCCCATGCATCCGGGTATCGTCGATGCGCATTTAATTGGAATATCTTAAGAACCGTTCACTTGATTCTTTTCATATTTGGTACCTAGGTTCATCACAGTATAAGAAAGGTCCAAGTCAGGTTTGGTGACTTTGACCTTCATTTCAAGGTCACAAGGGGACTTTAGCGTTTTACCTGCATGTTAAGCTACCTCAAAAACCGTTTCCTGGATTCTTTTCATATTCAATACCAAGCTTTATCTAGGGAAGGCGCAGGGCCCAGTCGATTTTGGTGACCTTCACATAATTTTCGAGGTCATGGCGACACTTTGAAGATTTCAGCATGTTAAGCTATCTCAATAACCATTCACTGGATTTTCTTCGTATATGACACCAAGCATTATCCAGGGAGGCGCAGGGCCCAGTCGATTTTGGTGACCTTCACTTAATTTTTAAGGTCATGATGACACTTTGCAGATTTCAGCATGTTAAATTGCATGTTAGGATAGTCAGCAAGATATCACCAAAAATATTCACTGGATTTTCTTCATATTTGACACCAAGCTTCATCTAGGGAAGGCCCAGGGTCCAGTCAATTTTGGTGACCTTTACATAATTTTCAGGGTCATGACGACACTTTGAAGATTTCAAGAACTGTGCGCTGGATTTTCTTCATAGACTTTCAAGACTCCCCTTGAATGTTTTTCAATAAGCAATTTCTTTAGTACTATTTTGCATATTTCATACACTATGACATTCATGTCAAAGTCAAAGTCAGTCTTGAAGATATGTGTGTTTGAACAACTAAAGAGCAAGATATCAAGAGAGGTTGACTGGTCATGTTTTTGTTGACATTTAACCTCATCTTAAAGTTTCATTACTTTATAAGAAAGATTTGATAATTTGAGGCGGGGGATTATGTCACCTTAGTGACAATGCTGTTTAGTAATTGGTTTTAGTTTCCACCTAATGAGTCAACTATTATAGGTTTAATTAATTATTCATCCGTAATAACAATTGATTGTGAGAAAATGTAGGTATAATGAAATGAATGCAACATGTACAAAAACCTGAAAGTCTGATGGCAGACATTTCATGGCCAACTGCTGCTATGGTAAAGTATCATCTAAATTTTGTGTTCTTTATCATTTGATATTAACATGAATTATACAGGTAATGAATGTCCAACATGTTCTTTTCTTACATTTATGATTACCAGGTAATTTATATCTTCAACCGGTGAGAAGTCTTGAACTGTAACCAATTCACAATAACAGGCAACTGATTCTTATGTTAGAAAATATTCATTCCCTCCTTCTTTTCATACCTTGTAAGTAGACCACAAAGGAATATCATAGCCAACACAAACCAGAATATTGGTTCAGTCCCGCTGTCACAAGTCAACTGAAGTGAAACAAACCATAGAACAGCCTGAATATATCTGTATTTTACAGAGAGATAGTCATTCTTTTCATTCTATATTATCATTGATCTCATGAATTAAGATGTCCCTCTCATTGCAACAGGTTTTGTTATTGTCTAATGGATGACATTATGACATATTTTTGTTCCTATGACTGGATCATTGTTGTACTTCAGCTTTAGGTGTTAGTTAATATATACTGGAACATTACCGCAGTGAACAGTTATGTCAGGAGCTCCTGCTTGTGGGCTCAAACCCCAACTTCCTCATGGTTATGTCCCTTTGATTTATTTACTTGGAAATTTTTAAAAATAATTCAAGAAGAAAGATTGAAAATTTGCGGGGGATATAGAAGAGTTCCGTCCGTCCGTCCGTCACGCTTTGTCCAAAGCATATCTCCTAAACTATTCATGATAGCTTAACCAAACTTGCTCAGCCAAGTCAGCGATCCTGACAACCCAATCTCTTTAGTCGCCTCTTACAACAAGCATGGGTTGCTGAAGATGAATTCTAAGCAGGATCTTCATAGATAAACATACACAGTTTATTATTCCCCGCAACAACGTCGAGAGATAGTCATTCTGTGACTATGAGGATGTCATCTTGTCTGGAGCAGATCTCCTAAACTATACATGCTAGCTTCATCAAACTTGATACACATTTCAAGCATGATCCCTAGATGTGCATTTTGGGGTGTAGACCCAGATATGAATTTTATTTTTTGCTGTTTCCATGGAAACATGACTTGGGCTGTGACTATGAGGATGTCATCTTGTCCGGAGCAGATCTCCTAAACTATCCATGCTAGCTTTTGAAAGGCATTTAGAAGTTGGATGAACATGAATACATGACACGTTTTATGGATAACGACTTCTTTTTTATTCTTTACATGACGTTTCAGAGCTAATTCTTGCTCCTTCATCGTCAGAGCTAATTCTTGCTCCTTCCATCACCTGATAAAAGAAGCAAGAATTAGCTCTGAAACGTCATTTAAAGAATAAAAAAGAAGTTGTTATACATTCATATCCATGCTAGCTTCATTAAACATTTGCATTAAGCAGTATTATAAGTCGTTATGGTCTTGGATATTTAGCACAGCATGTTTAAGACAGAGATAGACTTGACAAGGAAGTTTGTTCTTTTAATACAAATTGCCACCATCAGGTTTAATGAAGGATATTGTTTCACTCACCAGTGTTTGAAGTTAAACCTGAAAGTGAAAGAATTGATTTTACTGAGTCTGTCTTGAGCCAAAGCTCAAAGAATAGTAGTGACCACGGTCACTTGTTTCATGTGCTTTACCCACACTAAAAAGAAGAATTACTGTTCCCAAAGAATTGGTTGAGACCCTAAGTTGCTGCTGTTTTGTTGCAGGATCGCAGAGAACGGGAACAGCAGGAGTTGGAGAGTGCTAAGGAGATAGCTGATGAAGATTTTGATGGATTTCCTTGAAGGCATAACCGCCACAGGAAGAAAATGTGTATATTCACTCAAGGAGCAGGTGTAAAAATTGTCCAAAGGTGTTCAACCTTTGCATGTTTTTGGTGACTAGTTGCAAGTGTTTGACACTGGCACAAAGCATGAAGCTACACCAGCATCATACCACCTCACAAACCTGTCATAACATTACATATTCCGAAACATCCATAGTATGTCAAATTTTCTCCTGATTATCTAATTAAGCCTTGGAAATTCCTCAACAATTGCTTTTGTCAAATTGTATTTTTCTGTCATACAATGACCATGAATTATTCCATAGTTGATCATTGGTTGAGACACATAGAAACATGTTTTTCCCAAGCTGAATGAGTTTTTGGGAATGATCCAGTTTGCATGGAAGCTTTGTCTATGTGTAAATACTATCTTGACATGAACGTAAAATTGTGACAGTTTTGTGAAGCGGTCATTTAGGGATGATTTAGTTCGTAAATGTTGCCTGCAATTCATGGATGTGTCCTTTTAGTCTAAAAATAAGACACTTCCTCTCACTTTAACACAGTGGCATTTCTCATTGTTTATACCATCCATTTAGATGTTGCCTATATTCAATGTATCTGAAAGAATGTTCCATCAGTAACTGGGAGAGCATTATTGTAAACTTTGTCTGAAAAGATATATATCAGGTTTTTAAGAACTGGAATCAAGAAACACCAAATTTAAACCGCTGCTGAGGAGTATGTCCAAGAAGAAATACTGTAAATATCACTGAAACACCATTTGCCTATCGATGCAGCATCTTGAAAATAAGTTTGAAGGTCATTTTTCTTAATGTATCCATAATCCCTTATCTACACCACGTCTAAAAGAATGTGCGAAATTGGCACATTCAGTTTCAGCATACAGATAACTGCCGTACATCTGACAATCTGATTTTTAAAATTGGGTAGCTTAAATGCTGGATTTCCAGTGGTTGTGAGACCGCCAGTCTACAGGAAGTGTTTTTTGCTGTATACTCAGTACAGTTCATAAGTTGTTCAAAAACTGTCCATGATAAGCCTGATTTGACAGCTCTTTGAATTGTATTGGAAACATGTGGTTCAACTGGCAGTACTCCAATAGGATCCATTAACAGTTACAGCTGATGTGTAATTGTGAGGTATTTCATATTTATGCTAATTGTCAATTTATTTTCTGCCATAGGAATACTGAATGTATGATTTTTTTGCATTTTATGCTGAACTCTGACTAAAGAAACTGGAAAGGTATCTGTTTTTTCTGAACTTCATTTTTGACTCAACATAAGGAGGTAAAACAGACAAAGGTTTGCCATTGTGAATTATCTATAAGTATGATATTTTACTTTTGCAGGTAAGATAATGTTGCAAAGATTATTATTGGCTTCTCACACTTTGGATTGGGAATGATTTTCGCTGCGATATCAAATACCCCCTTCCCACATATTTGAACTTACCAGCATATTGACAAGAATCAGTGCTGAATTTATTTCTTCCACTATACTCAAAACGGTTCTTGATGCTCTAAGCAGTGAATGTTGGAAAACTCTTAACCATTAAACATTAATAACTGAAGGTCTTCACCATTAAACATGATTGTCTGAAGGCCTTCTGTTACCTGGAATTCACATACAGTTGTGTTATTCTTTTCCATCAAGTGCTATGAATTATGTTTAATTATGGTCTGAATCGTTCTCAAAATGTTAATATTTCTTGTATTATATGTGAGACTTGCAGGTGTATGAACAATAAAGTTAAGTTGACTTGTACAGGTGTGTTTGTTTTCTAGTGAGTAAAAAGTTATCGCTGCAATGGCATTTTATTTAGCCATTAGGCTTATCTTATAGTGTTGTTCATGTTGTATCATGACGTTACTCCTTATACACTACAAGATAAGCGTAATGGCTGAAAATGTGCTGATGTGACAATAACTTTAATACCACTTCTCAACTACAGTTACTATTCTTATGCTTGATATATTTTCAAAAAGGAGTGTGCTACTCAAGAGAAGTAAATGTACACCCGATTCTTTCGTATTGCTATAGTTAGACATGGCATGACAGATAATTGGTAGTAAAATGAAAGAATCAATATTCTTTAACTTCTGTTGAGTAGTGTATTTATGAAGTTTAAGGATAATCTCACTCACATTGCTTCTGAAAGCTGCAGACCCGTGAAGGTTCGGGTTAGAATATTGATCTTCAGTAACCCATGCTTGTCGTAAGAGGCAACTGACGGGATCGGGTGGTCAGACTCGCTGACCTGGTTGACACATGTCATCGGTTCCCAATTGCACAGATCGTGCTTATGCTGTTAATCACTGGATTGTCTGGCCCAGACTCGATTATTTACAGACCGCCGCCATATAGCTGTAATATTGCTGAGTGCGGCGTAAAACTAAACTCACTCACTCATTGAAAGTTGCGTGTTGCGTGTGATTGTATAATACTATTGCAGTCAGTCTAAGCTAACCAACCACTCATGCAGGATGAACACACACTGGTTGACACCAGTGACATTTTGCAAGTTGTTTACATAGTTTTATACGTCCGCCGTGGAAGGTCGCGGGTTCAATCCCCGACCGCATCATACCAAAAGACGTTAAAATATGGTACTTGTTGGTCCCTGCCTGGCGCTCGGCATTAATGGGATCAACAAGGACAGGTCGGCTCGGAGTCAGTATAATGTCTCTGAGTGGGGTATTCATGCTTCACTGCGGCATGGTATCTTAGTGGGCAAGCACTATAAAACCAGCTTCAGTCTGGGCTAGTACAAGCAGCCGCACATACACATACACACGCATGCAAGTCGTCATATGAGCAAAATATTCTCAAGCACGACGTTAAACCCAATTTCACCTCACATAGTTTTATACAAAGAAAAATGCAAATTGAGTATGTCCATGTACTGAGACCCTGAAAATATCTACATGCGGCGTATACAGTCAATTGATGATGTCATCATATCGATACAGAAGTTTGCACTTGATATTAATAACTGGTTGACCCTCATTACTTCTTGGCTGAATGATTCAAATAACTGGAAATGTACAAACTAACCACTTTACGCTCAGGGTAGCTCATAGATTTAACATATGCACCTGATTTGAAGCTACATCTCCAGTTTATCTAAACCTTTTCTAATTTAGTAATTCTAGGTCATGGCATGAACTACTCTGGGATAGGATTTGTCGCATATCTTCAAAAACTAAGCCCTGTGGGGATTGAGCCTTCATAACTGCCACTTGTCTTGACTGTGTATTTTTGCAACAAGTTCAGTTAAACTTAATATTTAGCTTAATTAACACATGACCTGTTCTGGTGAGGATTACTTCACGACTTTAACAAGAGGTCTTTGGGGGGTTGGTCATTTACATGAGGCCCTGTGAAGGTTATCTTCAATGCTCAAAACCTACATTTTTTATTGGGTCTGGGACAAGAAATTTAGGTTAACCACCTTCCTAAAGCTTAAGTTTCTTGAATTATGCAAAATTATATTTTTGATTCTTTTCTTGATCTGGTTATCTTGTTAGGATATTTCTGCCAGCTCTCAACAACAAAACTATGCATTAGTCATCCTGGTGTCAGCATAAAATTAGAAAATTAAAGTTTGAACAGCTATTCGATCAATTTACCTTGCAACTTGATAGTTGTTTTTATAGAGGATTCTGAAGCCAGGTTGATTCAGAAAAGCTGCATTCACACCAAAACCTTGAGTGAATAAGATTTATTGCACAGTCAGCACTTTCGAATATATCACAACACAAGAATGTTTAGACAAGGCAAACCAGCAAGTCCTCATTTCCCCTTAGTCAGGGGAGATTGACTTCAACCAATCAACCAGTCCTGCATTGTGACCTCCCAATACACATTTGTAGGCTCTAATGTCAAGGAGGGGTTCCAAGGACTGTCTCTCATTAAGGGACGGTGAGGTAGTCTAGTGGTTAAAGCGTTGTCTCGTCACGCCGAAGACCCGGGTTTGAATCCCCACATGGGTACAACGTGTGAAGCCCATTTGTGGTGTCCCCTGCCGTGATGTTGCTGGAATATTGCTAAAAGCGGAGTAAAGCCAAAGTCAGTCAGTCAGTCTCTCATTAAATCCCTGTGAGCTCAGACAAGTAGCAAGACTTGAGGGCTATTTCAACAGGTTGACATCCTTACCAGGAGATGTCACTCTCACTCACTCACTCACTCACACCAAATCTTCTAGAAGCCACTGTGGCTGAGTGGGTTTGATTTCTGGTTTTGTGTGATGGAAATTAGGTAATTCTCTCTGAAAGTGAGTTCGAATCACTTATGGGACACAACCCCTAAAAGTCATAGAATCTGTATTTTACTGAGGAAGTGTAATCTCCTATATAACATGTAATGTTTGACCACTTCTAAAAGGCATTGTGAATTCAAACTCCAATCTTACTTTGGCTTGCCTGTAGTTAAGTAAAGGCAGAAAATTGACAAAACCAAGCCAAGTTAAAATTTGAGTGGACTTGGTGCAGTGTAATAACTATTCACTTAATGCAGTCTGGTTCAATTACATTCAGTTGAACAGATAATCCCTTCTGTCATTTATTGAAAGGAGAAATCCTGATAATGAATGTTTAAAAACCTGAACTTCTGACAAATTAGAAAACCCCAGCTGTAGCCATCCATCATGACACAACAGTATTCACTGTTACCAATGGGAGACAACTTTCTCAAGTATTGAAATTCCCTCTGGCAAAATTTCACTTCACACAAATACACAAATACAAAATCTCCAGAAAGTAATTTAAATTTTAGTGTTTTTCTTAAGTTTAACAAAAACCAACTGATTATTGATTTTTCCTAAGCCAGTGTGGTATTTTAAGTCAAATTCTAAAATGATTTTCCTAGGCAATTTGTATATAAAACATTTTCTTGACTTTTTTAAAAGTCATTGAAAATACTGATTTGTAGTTGTTGTCAGGGTTTGAAATTAAGTCTGCCCTCAAAAAACCCTTCCAACTGGTTCATGTATTCGAGGAGGACATTGTATAGCACTCTGCAGAGTCTAATTAAAGGCAACTTGATAATTGATCTGAGATAATTTGACATTCCACAGCATAGTGAAACACATCTTTCTGCTTATCCACAATCAAAGTATTACATGTTTCCTACATATTTTTAGAAGACCACGTTAGTAAACATGACCTAGATGTTCTGGACACATGTGAAAGTTAACATCACAAGAAAACCTGAGGCTTCAGACAGGCCTTCAAATACAGAGAATATAAATATTCATGTTTCAGGTTGTTGGGGTTTTTTTACGTTTCACAACCTAGAACCAAAATGTTAAGAACAGTTGTTTTTTTACCTTTCTTTGTTAAGTAATGTCTGTATTAAAAACACGGGGGGGGGGGAATCAATATATAAAGGGAAGTAACTCTTAACTGAAGGATCCACAGATTCTTCCAATGCATGTTTTGACAAATAAGGTAATTATCTGAGGACTCCCTGTCTTCACTGTCTATGGGAATTCTGAACGTGAAGGGGTTCTCCCCTTGTAACAATTGATAAAAATAGGGATAAGGCGGTCTGGCTCAGAGACTTGTAACTGTGCATCTGCTACTCTGTGGATGATGTGTTGAATCACTGGTGAGAACCACAGAGAGAGAGTAGCAAGTCCTAAGCCTCTGCGGG